CACTGCGATTGATGGTAAAAAAAAATAAGTAATCTCTATGGGTTACAGTATACCCCGTTATAGCCATCGAGATCAATGGCTTATTTGCTGGATCACAGCGATTGATGGTAAAAAAAATTAGTGAATCTCTTTAGTACAGCCATTTACAGTATAACATGCATGGCACGTCCGTCTTTTATGTTATCGTTAGACGAGTCTGTAGAAATACCATACTGTACCACCGACTTTCACTAGTACTTGGAGTAGTTTTCAGCTCAACCAGGAACTTTTCTACATGGAAATTCTCTCTTCCAAAGTTCCTAGCTCAACGCGCAGCTGCAATAATCCAAACAACGATAGCTGGACAGTGTTCCAGGCTGTTCCAAACTTCCAGCCGTCCGCAGTTTCCAACTTAACACCATCGCGCAAAACATCTTGAATATTGTTACTGTACTCATTGCGATTTGACTGCACCGGTAAAGTACTGATTAGCTAGAAGATTGGACAAAGTGGGGCACATCCATGAAATTCTATCCATTGCCAATTTCCCACTCTATACAAGTGCCTCAAATCCCAGCTGGTGCGTAACTTATTGCTGCCGCTAGCTTAGCCGTTACCACGGCTTGGAATTTTTTACTCTGTCCAAATACTGTACAGCGATCGTCAAGGCGTTTACCAGGTAACAACATTACAGCGGATATGGTATTTCCGACGATGGAAGTAAGCCCACGTTGCATGATCATCGATCTACCTGATACCATCTCTAGCCCAAGCCAAGTTCGAAAATGTCTGGATAATGTTGCTGCAAGCATCAAAGAGATCTTTGTAATAGAATCGAAACAACAAATGATTCTCGAATTCTTGGATGAATCGACCGACCATCAGGATCTACTGAGTGAACTAAGCAATCAATCGATGATCGTCCATCAGGTATACCAATTTTGTATGCGTAGCGCTTCTTGACTTCATAGCATTATCCACAGTCGTATGTACATCGATTGTATGCAGTTTACAATTGTAAATCCACAGTAATTCGAGTAGTGCACATCGATGATGCTGCAGACAGCAGGTACTAGTCTGTGATGATGATGTTAACCCAAGTAGATCATCTTTCAACTAAAATGGATAGTAGCAACGTCAATTGATTCACGTAGCAGTTTCTTCGTATGAAAGACGTGCAATATTTTTTTGAATTTGAATTGTATCATGGCTTATTTTTCTCTTATAATATTATTAGCATCATGGCCTACTACGCCATATAGCTGTACAGATTTACGGCATGACATGTGAATCTTGCCCTGAACATCTCAATAAAGTGATACAACAAATGGAAGAAGTCTACTATGCAAAGTTTACTCTAGCCGATCAAATGGGTCATATTGTGTATAATAGCCACCTCTTAACAATTGGTGATATACTTTATGCTATCGACGAATGCGGATTTGAAGCTCGATTCCTTAATCAACAAATGAAAGATAACTCATTGGGTTAGTAGTAAAAGAAACCAATGTTTGCATTTTCGTTCAACAAAGTACCGTACAAGAATATTCTGATGACTGACATGTTACGCTTACGTTTCCTATTATGTTTCTATTATAATTAATTGTTATTATTATTGTACGTACAGATGG